AATTAAAAATAGAATAATAAAATTTAAATATATTATTCATAAAAGGAATATCTTTAATTCTATTCAATAAATAGAGGGGGGTCAAGCTTAAATAAATTTTAAGAAATCTTAAAAAAACTTTTGAAAAATAAAATTAGCAGGCAAATTTGCCTGCTAGACAGTTTAAGGGATAATTAACTTAACTCATACACGTCATCATTACTAATATACTACTGATTTGATTTACTGATTGTAATTATTGTGGCAGATTAAAATAAAATCAGATTAAAATGAAATGAGAGATAGTGTAAAATAGACAAGCTACCGAAAAATACAAATTTTTGGGGTGCATTTTTTTAGGGTTAGGATTAGAGTTTAGAAGCAGGTTTGATAATAAACAAGTATAAGTGGGTTTTAGAAGGTCAAATAGAAACCCTTCTTTTTATTTTAATCTGATTTTATTATGATCTGTGACAATTATTACTTCTAATATTACTTCATTTTATAGAAATACAGATTAACTACTCATGTGACTGTAACCGGGCATGACATATTATTAAAAAAGCATATGATAATGGTGGTTATACTAGCGAATTTATAAATGGTTTTTAAAAAATGAACACTTGTTGCAAGATCTGTGTAAATATGAGGCGAAAAATTCCTTGAACCTTTTGCAGATAAAATGATTTCACTTGCCAACCTTATCTTTCCAAACATGATCAAGCCGTTTCTTTCAGGTCTTTTCGGAATCGAAACGTCATGTTGGCATTTTCTACTCAATCATAGTTAAAGGATATCTTCCTACAATTGAGCTACCGCACTGGATTGATTTTGGAGTTTGTGCTTGTAAAGTTGGCAATAATTACCGTGCAAATAGTATTATTAACCTTGTACATAATCCTATATCATCTGCTGGAAACTGTGAATTAGCAGAAGAAGTTCGGTTAGAATACTTGTATCAGGATCTTATTTCTTAAACTGTCCAGATTAGCAGACAAATTTGTCCGCTAAAATTTTATAAATTCATATTTGATCTACATTTATCAAAAATTAAAATATTTTAATAAACTTTTTTTAACTAACAATTATAATTATATATTATTTAAAAATTATTTT